CATTTGCAAAGCTGCCAGAGCTAACGCAAGTTGACATTTCTCACACGGTGAGGTCCTGACCTGAAATCATGGGCTTTGGAGATGAAACAAGCCATTAAACTCCTCTGAAAGCTACTGTAACTTCACGCGAAATCTTTTAATAAGCACATGCCATCGTCTCACATGTCTGCTGAAAAAATGGCTATAAACACTAGACCTATGTTATATATTTAGAGTTGTGTACTTACATTATCCTAAATGTTTCTAACAATGTTCAAACCCTGTGAAATACGTTATTTTATTTTATTTTATTTAGGTAACAGTGGCTTAGGCAACCTTAAGGTCGGTCAATGATGTTAGATCATAAGCTGGAAAATCAAGGGGATACGCTCGGATGGGTTGCGATTGTCTGCCTTCTGTTATTTAACAGAGGTTGAGTCCTTGACTTTTGGCTGGCACGTCTCTTCAATGACAAAAATGTAAAGTTACATCCACAAAAGCAAATATCAGCTGGAGGAATCACATTTAACATGGTCTGACTCATGGAGCAGGAGATGATGTGGTTTCATTTGATGAACAATTTAAAAAGACATGCCAACCAAAATCAACCATTTGATTATCAAACACTCTAAGACATGGCTGTTCATCAGACAGCAAATCAAAATACAAATAAAGTACAACTGGTTACCACGTTAACACCAAGCACAAGTGAGCTTATAGGCTAAAATTTCAGTATGAATTTAGAAATATGCGTTCCAGCAAAGCAATTAATCTTTGTAGGTTTTAATTTGGATTTTGAGGATTCAGTACCTTTTTACAGAGCATGCTGTTTTATCAGTAATCATTTAGCGCCTAATACTCCTGAAGATTTGAAACATCTAACGTATAAGTTGACAAGTCCCAGCATCTTCCTGTGTTTACACAAAAATAGAATTGGTTAAGAACTCATATGGTAGTGGTGCTTTAAAACCTGCTAAGACATCAACTGGGTATCAAAGGGTTTTATGAAAGATATGATGTGTTGGCACCAGTCAACATCAACATTTTACTTTAACTTTAGCAGCAACAAAGCTGTAGTGTCTGCACCGCCTCATTTCATTGATTTCAAGGGATATCCAACCAAATCCAACTAGGTGGCAGGCATTAAGAATAACAATATAAAAACTGCCAGTCCTCTACCTGATGGTCTTGATAGTGTATGTAGGTTTCATAACTTTAAATTGAGGTTGTGACTGAGAAACTGGTTGAAAGACATAAACATAGTTTCAGTATGTTCAGCACCAGACACCCGACTGTAGCCATGTGACTTTCCTGCTACTACCAGCGTCTCTATTAGGAGAATCTACAGGAACATTTTTATTGACATTTCATTCGGGTGTAAAAACTGAGGAATGGGTAAACAGGTTACCATAGGCCGAAGTGCTGCTGTCAGATGGCCCCCACTCATTGGCTGAGTTTTAGGCGTGTTAGCTATAACCGAGGGGAGGGTTGAAGAGGTCAACGGGTGAACGACTCGTATTGTGTTATCAGTTAACCACTGCTCTTAAAAAGAACAAGAGATATGAAGAAGCCAGAACCCAAACAGAGAGGTGGTTGACTCGGTAGGAAATCATAATACACACCACGGCTGACGACTGTCCTCTAATGTGTCAATGCCAAACAACAACTCAAGGTCCAGCTACGTCAGCCTGTCTGTTGTGCTGTAGGCTCTCCATGTTTTGTCTGGTGGTGGTCTTAGGTCTGTATTTACCTGTGTAATACTACATAAGTAAACCAAGGCAAAGGTCAATAACTGGCTTATGTCAACTTGCATAATGATTATGGGTTGACTTGACCCTGGAATATACCATTTAAAAAAAATTTGTAATATAATTCTTTTACAAATAAAAGCCCAAAAAGGGGGCGTGGTGTTATGTAACCTTTGTCAGGGAGCAGTGCAATTTGCAGCAACATCAAAAGTTTTTGTTGCGTAAGTCTCTGGCACTGTGCTTTCAGTCTTTGTGTCCCTGCAAGCTATTGACATACAGATGACAAATTAAAGGAAAAACCTCAGTAAATGTAGTAAATGTGTATATACATGCTCTGTGGCATGTATAAAAACGCTGAGCAGGGGGGATTATTACAGTTGCACTGCATAAACCCATCATTACAAAGATAAATGCACATTTTAGGGTTCAGTGGTGCAAAAGCCACATAGGCACTGGTCTACAGAGATGTGTAAAATAGTAATATGGTTAGATGAGTCATCCTTCTCCAAGAGATCAGTACAGGTATGAATGCTTGACCCCCTACAGTGAGGGAATCTGGTGACTCTGTAAAGCTGGGGAGGGCAATTTACTGGTATAGTTTGATTTTACTTGTTCCCTTAGAGGGAAGGGTAACTGAAAATCAATACAAAGTTGTTCTGAGTGATCACCTTTATCCAGTGATGTAACATTTCTATTTAGCTGGAAGTGGTATCTTACAGGATGACAATGCCAGCCATCAATAAGGTGGGGGGGTCACTGAATGGTTTGACTGGACTGATGTGTTAGACAGCACTTAGACAGCAGCAATTTGCTTTTTGTCCAAAGGATGAATTATTTTGTTACAAGCTCTGCTTTCAACACACTCTTGTAAGTTCGGACTGTGAGTTCTGGTCTGACATCTCTCTGTGAAGTAGTTGTCACAGTACTAAAAGGGTTGACGATTCGAATCTATGTGAGGAACTGAACTCCCTGGAAGACAATCTCAGATGCCAACTTTGACATGCTGCCGACACAACACAGCGCAGGTAGCCTGGAGGATCTGCACCATGTTAAGGGAATCAAATTCAAAAAAAGGGCTTTTTCTGCAAAATTAGAACTTGATACTTTACTTATATTTTGCTATGCACTTTGGTAGAACTTTAAATGACCTCTTTGTGGCTAAAAAAGAATCCACTAATGTGTGTTTCCTGCAGTTTCACACTCAGTTTGCTTCCTTGACTGTATGTCCATCGCTGCTCAATGTATCGTTTTTTTTCATATTTATTATGGCACATCGATTACAGGACGTTCAGTCCAGGTGATATTCCTCGTGACGTGACTGTGCGTGTTTGTGTGTGCTCGATTGGAACATATCACATGAGTACAATGCGGAGCCATAAATGATCAAAAGAATGCAGTGTTTATTTATGACTTACTGGGTTGTAATATGCCCCATTTACAACACACACACACACACACACACACACACACACATACACACACACACACACACACACACACACACACACACACACACACACACACACACACACACACACACACACACACACCAAACAGTAACACAAAAGTAACAAGTGATTTTATTTTATTTTGAAAATGTAATTAGTTAAATTACTAGTAACTGCCAAAATTACAGTATTACAGTATTGCATTACTTTGTTACTCCCAACACTAGCAGTTTTTCTTTGGCAATAACTTTTTATAAAGTTTTAGTCGGGTTTTTTTAAACTCCACCTCTAAACTGCTGATCAGTACTGTATTGGTCCTTCTAGACCTTAAAGCACCCTTTGGCTCCATTGATCAGGTCATTCTCAATTGATAGATTAAAGCAGTTGGATGGTGTGTCCTGGAACGACCCTGGATTCGTTCCCCCTCCTGTTGAAATAGGAATAACTTTCTTCAATTGATTATTTTATCAGCTGCAGAAGTCACATGTGGAACTCCTCAAGGATCAATACCACTTCTATACTCACTGCACACCTCCCTTACTCACTGTTGTAACATTTCCTTTCACTGATGTGATACACAGTTGTGCCTTTTGGTCAAACCCAAAACTTCACCACCTGGGTTTTCTTTTAGATATATTTTGGAGGAAATTTAAGTCCTTATTTCAAGAGGTGGAGAGGAAGCAGGAAATAAGGAAGACTTAAACTATGAACATCACGGGATTATTATGGTTGTCTAAACCACTGTGGCATCCCATTCACATATTTAGCTACATACAATATCTTCTTGCCTGCTTTAGCAGTCCATCTGTGGTTCAGCTTTAACCAGTTTCAAGTTAAACAGATTTCCTCATCACTTGAGGCAATGTATCAGCCCCTCGGCAGACACAAAAGGCTTTCAACAACTTTTCATATGTACAGTTTTGGTATTATTAATGAGGTAGAAGGAGTGGGTGCCTTTTTAAGGATTTTAATGTGGAAATTGTACTTTTTCTTTTAAGAAAATACATATCAAATAGACATAGTCCTGGAAGGGACCTTTAAAGACCTCGTTCCATATATTACTAAAGTAAATAGGCCTGTACTTGTTATCAGCTAGTATACTACATTAAGTGATTATAATAATTATTATCATTATTATTATTAATGCATTTGGGGTTGTTTGACATATAACAATTAATTATTTAATCTATAACATTGCATGTCATATCAATGCATCACGTTAATTACAGTATGTTTTGTAAGAAAAAAAGCAACTTTAGCTCACCTTTTTCTCTGTCAAATGTAAAAGAGCTGAGGTATAAAGTTCCATTAAATAAAAATACTCAATTAACTACAATACAATTGTACTCAAGTGCAGTAATCGCTTGCTTAGTTTCTGGCATTAGGATATAATTTGTTTAAAAGTCAGCATGTGTTGACGTGTGTGATGACAGTGTGTGTGATGGACCGGCCAGACACGTGATGTTCATAATAATGTTTCGCAACCTGCTGAATCACGCTGGAAACGCACAACATATCTTGTTTTGCATCTGGGATAATAACTAGCATGTTGATCAATAAACTCCGATTGATCATTGCTGAATGGATGTTGAAACAACTTTCCCTTCCTGCTCACATGTGGACATCAAGTATATCAGGATGTGAACATCAGCAACCGCTGCTGGGAAGAGGGAGGGGGATAAAATATAGTTGGTCTTCAAAATTGGATACTATTTTGAAGGTGTGTCCGCCCAGCCAATGAGGCTGCAGCACCCACATGCGTCATCCTGGGCAGAGGAAGGGGGGGGGTCTCTGGGCCTATAATAGAGCCGGCAACTGCGCCCTTATCCTCAGACACAAGTGAGAAGAAGTGAAGACTGCAACAGGACGCCAAACCAGAAGAACTCAAGAGAAGACATTTAAAAACTAAAACACTTTTACCACCGGCTTGTGTATAATATTTTTAAAATTTCAACAGCTGTTATTCAACTTTTTTCCTCTTTGGAACTTGATTTTTCGCGTTTTTCTTCCCTCATCAGACACTTATTTAATCTTCCACAATGTTTCCAGAGGCAAACAAAGGGTGAGTAGACTATTTTTTTTTTTTTTTTTGTACAAACTGTAGTTTCATCTGTCCTCTTCCCATGCTGCTGAACACATGGCCCCTTCATGGGTCGGTCAGGAGTGTGGGTAAAAAATATACCCGGAATGTTTGGCTGGGTGCCAGAAAAAAAAGGGCACATGCGCTGTGGGCAGCTGAGGTTACATGAAAAACCACTCATTTATTCCTGAAGGAGTCCTTAGTGTCTTTGACAGTTAATATAAACTCATGCACATTTTTGCTGATTATACCATTATTAATATCAATATTACTTGTCAAGACTTTTCTGTGAGAACTACAATTCTTACTTTTCCAGTTTTATAAGTATAATATATCTATAGATGCATGCCTGGGTGGGGGTGAATGGAGCAGTTTGTCAAATGAAAAGAACAAATCACATGGGATTTGGGAGTGTAATATTTCAACCCCACAGACAAGTGTGAGCGTGTCACCATTGAAGTGCATGAGAGGCGTAATACTGCTGTGACTCAGCAGGAATGTGTGTGTGGGTCTCTTCAAAAGTCATAACCCTATTAGTAGCAGTTCTCAGATTAGGCATCTTCCCCTGTAATCTGATAATAATGATCACATGTTGCTTAATGAATTAGGAGAGGCAAAGAGATGTGAAACCGCGGTCATCCTAACCTCTGACTCTCTTTTCATGTCATCCAGGTTCAGCTACGAGGACTGCAAGGCCACTGCCGATTGGCTGATGGCCCAGACAGACGTTCGACCCACCGTGGGCATTGTGTGCGGCTCGGGGCTCGGAGGCCTTGCTGACATGTTAAAGGATCAGGTAGCCTTCAACTACAAGGACATCCCCAACTTTCCACAGAGCACTGGTGAGTTTAACTTTAATAAAAAAAACCTCTCAGGTGACTGGTTCCCATTTTCTGTTGATATTTACTGACTGGTTTGTGTTTTGTTTTTTTTCTTTCCCTGCAGTGCACGGGCACGCGGGTCGGCTGGTGTTCGGCACCCTAAGGGGGAGGCCATGTGTTTGCATGCAGGGGCGCTTCCACTTGTACGAAGGCTACCCAATCCAGAAGGTGTGTGTGCATTTGAACTCTTGCAACTGACTGCATCAAGTAGCAATTTGCCATGAAATCTGTGGCCTTTAAAAATGTTCCACATCCTGTCACACCGCTGAAAGATCCTTTAAGCCAACTAAACCTCTGAATGGTTATGCAACATCTATATTTATCTACTGTATGTGTGTCTTTTCAGATTACACTGCCCATACGTATCTTCAAGCTGCTCGGTGTGGAGACGGTGATGCTGACAAACGCGGCCGGGGGCCTCAATCAGGACTTCAAAGTCGGAGACATCATGATCATCAAAGATCACCTCAACATGCCCGGCTTCGCTGGCAACAATCCACTGTCTGGACCCAACGATGAGAGGTATGTGTATGGAGTGTGTGTATTAAAACATGCTGTACATTTAAAGTCTCCTTCACCGGGGGCATGTTGGAAACACTTTTAAATAATAAACTAGGCCTGTTGAACCTGTCAGTAGACATTCTGCGTTATTAGCCTCGGCACTGCTCTGGTCTTTATCCTCACTAAACCTTCCACCTGTCCCTCTACTTCTTGCCCTCGCAGGTTCGGTGTGCGTTTCCCCTGCATGTCCGACGCTTATGACAGAGAGCTGCAGCAGCTGGCCATGGACGTGGGACAGGAGCTCGGCTACGGGGACTTCCTGAAAGAGGGTGTCTATTGCGTGCTGGGTGGACCCTCGTTCGAGACTATTGCAGAGTGCCGTATGCTGCACAAACTGGGCGCTGATGCTGTCGGTGAGTAGTATTTATGGACTTATTAGCCATCAATACAGACTATTTTATATATATATGTTACAGTTAGGTGGGCAGCAATGATATATGGAAAATGTGCCTTTAAAGTTGCATTATGTAAGGCTTTTATGTAAAAATACACCTGTTATTTGCCCATTTTTAATTCTTCTGTCAGATATGGAGACTTGTTCCCCTACAGAAATCAGCGTAGTAGAGTAATGAAACCTTTATATCTTGCATATATTGATTCTCTCCCTTTCCTCGCTAGGCATGAGCACAGTCCACGAGGTGATCATCGCGCGTCACTGCGGCATGAAGGTCTTTGCCCTCTCATTGATCACCAACCAGGCGGTGACAGACTACGACAGCGAAGAGAAGGCCAATCACGAGGAGGTCCTTCAAACGGGCAAGCAGCGAGCGGAGCAGCTAGAGCGGCTGGTTTCCACCATGGTGACCAAGATCGAGCACAACAACAACTACGCCTAAGAGACATCATGCAGTCAGAAGCTAGACTTTAGTCTTTTAGTATGACTAAAAGTGGTTATGGATCGCATTCAATGCTATCTTGCCAAATAAAATGAAAATGATGCTTAGTTTATTATTTAGGTGAGCAGTTGGGCTGTCCTTAGTCTTAGGTCAAAAGATGATAGCATTATAGTCCTCTGAAGAATCTCACTTAGATAAACAGGAATAGCTTTGTTTTCATGTCACTGTGCCTTATCTGACATCTTACATTCCTTTATTGAGTGACTCCAGACAAAAGTCGCTTCTCAGTTGTTTTTTGTATCATTTTAAAGAAGGCGTATTTGTTCTAACTTAAAATACATGATCGGCTTGTATAAATGTCTGCAATTTAACTTAACAATGAGCAAAAATCTGCTGTAAAGATCTTAATATTATGATGTTGTTGAAATATGTACATTAGTGGACTTAAAGTATTTTATTGTGCTTTTTTTAATATGAACGTTGTTACTAAAGGTACTATTTATTACTATAATAAGTTTGTTTGTGTTGTTCTGTGGGGGGGGGGCTTTTATACAGGTTTTAATTGATTTACTTATCACAATCATTTTAAAATCATCATCTATCTCAGACTTGATTTAGAGATTCAGTGCAAATGTAATCAATAATTAACTCAGAGAATCATGAAAACACCCCCATGTTTATTTTCAAAGTGTGTATGGAAGTTTTACAGAGACGCCACAAAGTAAACCACTGTACTGCATGATGAATGGGTCCAAAGAGACTCAGAATGTTACTTGTGTAAACATTAAGTAATGTTATATAAGCATTACGCGCAAAAACTGAAGACAAGAATGCTGGCATTGTTGGAGTATCATATAAATTTATGGGCTTGGCAGTTGCTTTTTGATGAATTGTTTCAAATTAAATTCTTCCATTTACAAAAAGACAAAAAAAATTGGTAGAAGAAACATTTTGGGTATTTAAAACACTTGAATTGTAGATACTCCATACTTAAAAGGCTTTCAAGTCTTTTCTCTTTTTTTCCAAAAGTGACATTATTTTGGAATACTCTTCAAATGAAATACTTGCTCCCCAGAAACAGACAATATATCACATTTCACACTACATGCATACAACATATTCACACATCTTGCATAATAGTTGACCTTCACCTTAACATACTGACGTGTTCTTGTTCTCTTTAAAAGGCAAGATTAAACAAGGCTGACAAATCCCTCATGACATCCAGTTCCGACATTTATATAAAAGTATTTTTTCATATGTTCCATGCATAATGATAAGCAGGTACGTCTTAAAGCTAAACAGGATTAGTTTAGGGAAATATAACTCAACACATTCTACATGAAACAGCACACTGCTGTCTCTGCACTGCAGGGCCCAGTGAAGCTTCATGAGTGGACCCTTGTTGCTTGGCACAAGATGTAAACGGAAAGTGCCAGGCCGGCAGCGTTCCTACAAAGGCTGAGTAGAGATACACATTACGCACATTCAGCACATATGAATGTAGTAAAGAGTAGAAGCTAAAGAACAAGCTGGCACACTCAACAGCTCTCCACATTGACCACATCTGGCACTGAGACTGTGATAACTGACAGAAGGCTCAACTTGAAACATTTTTTTCTTAAAATATGCTCTTTGAGGAGTGTTTTGCAGATTGTCAGGCTGTCCTCAAGTACAGTAACTCTTTGTAAAATAGACACAGATTGTATTTCCCCACATCAATTCAATTTAATCAAAAATCTGTCCAAAAGTATTATTTCCCCTTGGCAGACGAATGTAGTCATGCAGACTCATCCCTTACAGTATAGTGCTTATCTACATTTTACCATAAAGAGTAATCATCGATAGCCAGTTCCTAATATAAAACACCCTTAAAAAGTAAACCACTGATTGACTTGAAATATCTTACTTAACCACCCTAAAAGGGGCAAATCCTTGGTTCTGCATAGATTTAATAGAGCAAAACTAATCATACTGGTTGAGTTACAATGCCACAGTGTCCATGTTGGACAGCAAAAACAAATATTTGAAATGCTAGTTAGCTACTTGACAACTTGAGTTACTCCATATTTTTCCTCAATTTCTTTATCAATTGTATCTGTTTTAATGTGTATTAGTAAATTCATCAATGTATTTGACTACTAAATTCATTCATTTATTATCTTATATGTCAGGATTGGTCTTATAAAACGTGGTATCTACAAGCTAGAATCTTGAACATGAACCATGAACGACAGCTAGGCTAAGGAGAACTTAAGGAGGTGAAATATAACCAATGGCTAGATTGCATTTTTTTTCCCCAAACCAAGCAAGCTACATATCATAACAAAAATGTAAGATGTTTTTGGCTCCTGGCACTGAAATTTAACCAATACGTTTATTTTTTGCCCTGAGAATAGCTCTGCCTCAAAAAAATGTTTGCACAGCTATAAAGCGGTCTGCCTTGCTCACAGTCAGTGCTACCACAGAGTTGACAGCCAGGCTGCAATAAGTGAGCATCGTTCTGTTGGCAAAACAGGTGACAAATAAAGGACTGGCACATGTTTTCAATATAGGCACTGTAAAGATGAATTTACAGTCTTTTAGCATCAGCAGGGCCTCAGCAGCGAGCTGCGTGGAGGAGAGGAAGAACCAAAGCAGAAAAAGGCACTTCTAAAAACAACAACAAATTGGGCCTGAAGCTGCAGCAGGATGCAGTGCAACAGTTAAAGAGGACTCCACTCATCTCTAGGCAAACATGGTCAGCGTAATCCACTATAAAACACAAAGAGGATGTGAATTAGGGAATGGTAATCATGACTAAATCACATGTACGTTATGCACAGATATGGTCAGTAAATATCCGACAAAATACAAGGAAAAAAACAGTTTTTTTAGCACAAAAAGATGAAGAAATATTTATGAAAAACAAAGACAGAACAAGGTATATGGTAGCACTTCTGTTTATGTAAATGTTTGGCCATACCTGAAAGAAGTTGAGGGATATGACTTTGTCCTTATCTGTGTCCATGGTCTGAAAGGTTTCTGCAGAGACAGAAACAAAGGGAATCACTTATTTTAGTGTAAGTTCTATTCTGGTCTAATATGCTATATGTTTTTGTGATAAAGTCAGGTGAAAGCGAGTTTCACATTGGCCTTTTTGTCTTTTATTTTAACAAAACATTTTGATTGGACAAACAAATTGGATGATAGGTGGGCAAAGTCTTCCTTCAAAGACACTGAAGGTGTGCAGTAATGGGACTTACTGTACATGGTCTCCAGTCTGACCAGACAGGTAACAAAGTTGTCAAAGTCGACAGTCATGTCTGCCTCTGTGTAGCGCAGGATGATCAGCTGGAACAGGTGGTTGGTCAGCTTGAAACCTGAAGGAGAGCAGACAGGAAAATCAGATCACAGGAGGAACAAAAAGTCTTACGAAACAGTAATCAACAGTGTCAGAACAACCTTTTAACCAGTAACCCAGCAGGGTACACTCTCTTCCTTTTGTGTTGAAATAAAAAGGAATAGTACCTGCAGAATCCAGGGCCATCCTCATCTCGTAGGAGCTCATGGTGCCCGATTTGTCCAAGTCGAACTCCCTGAATATAGTCTGGCATGGTGACACAAAGAGATGGAGGAAGAAGGAAATAACAGACAGAAATAAGAGAGACAGAAAATGAAGAATTGAAAGAAACAGGTATTTAAACAGCAAACACGAAAATGGAAAAAAACAGTCCACTGGCCAGATGTCAAAATACACAACAGGCTGACGCAAGTACCATGAAGCAGAATAAATATTTAGCCACATTTCCCCATCTGACCCTTCAGAGTATTATCTCACCAGGTATCGTTTAATCTTTTCCCAGAGTACATGGAACTCTGTCAGGCCCAGCTTTCCACTGCCGTCCGTCTGAGCCAAGAAGTTAAGGAACAACAGTGACTTTCATCTGGTCGACAATTACGGCAACAAAATAGAAGTAATAATATCACAGCCACCTTTAATGGGGAACCACAGTGATTTTACACATCAAAGTCTGTTGACAGGTGTTGGCAAGTACTGCTGCGTGGGTGAGTCTGATTAAAGTCTGTTAAATCGTAAGGAAAGTGACGCCTCGCTATCCTTGTGTTCATTCTGGCGGCCCCTGTGGACAAAAGTGGTAGTGTTTGTATGGACTGCATTGATTTCAAGGGGAATCTGACCGAATCTGATCTGGTGGCAGGCATTAAGAATAACTACATAGAAATAGCCAACCTTTGTCTATTTATATAGGTAATATAGAGGCATCAGTTTTACATTAAGATGTTTAAGAGTATGTTTAAGATAAAAAAAGAAAAGCTGAAATTATATTCAATGCCATTTCAAGGATACGTCCATGAGGTTTATCATACTGCGACAAGCTTCTTTTGTGAAGCCATCTGTCTTCAGGTCTTTATCTGTTGTAAGACAAATAGAAAACATTTTTAAATACTATTTAAATTAATTCCACAATGCCGTAAGCGAAACACAAGCTTGTAATTCAACAGCACAGTTGAGCATGATTACTAACGTTTGCTGATGATCCTGTTCAATATGGTTTGCAGCTCTGCAAGGCTGATCTCCATGTCCTGTAGGCACAAATGGAGAAGGTCAAATCATTTAACTATGACTGTGTTTACAATGAAACATTTCTCTACTCCACTTCCTGCCAAGTGTGCTCACCGGCCCTGCCAGCTGCCTGAAGAGACTCTTGAAGCCTGCGTCGATCTGGCTCTCATCCAGCCGAGTCTGAAACACAAAGAGTAATGTTTTCAGTACGTGTTTGGTTTCTTTCTACGTATCATTAGTAGTCAGGTGTTGCAGTTCAGCTGCTGTGTTTCATCCTCTCACCTCTGCTGGAAGATCTGCTATAACGTCATCATCAAGCTCCCTGACATGGATAGAAGAAAGACTTAACTTAGACTAAACTTAAAAAGTTACTTAATTGCTTATTCTAAACTTGAACAAAATACCAAGATTTTTTTTCAGGAGACAGAATACATGAAAAAAATCTTGTAGATGTAAAGAATATACAGAAAAGAGCAAAAATTGCACATTGTCAGTCATTTTTGCCCTCAAACTTCATATAATTCCTAAAGTTAAAGTAGTAAAGCCACTCACTCAGACTCAGCGGGCTTCTCAGAGAAAACCCTGAGGACAAAGTCGGCCTCTTTGTGCGGCTCGAAGGTGGAGGGGACGATGATGTATTCTCCCGCTGGTAGCTGCAACCGCGAGCTGACCTCCCTCAGGTTTATGAAGAGCTCTGAGCGAGCGCTGGAGGCGTGGGTGAGGAAAAATTCTTTCTTCAGGTGGACCCCTGTCCTGCCCTTGAACTGAAAGTGGAGACTGTTATTTCTGATCTTTTCGAAACTCTTAAACCTCTAACTTTAATGTTTTAATCAGGTTAAAGCGCATTATGTTTGCATTCCACAATGTCTGGAGAGCATTTGACAGCTATTAGGTTTTTTAAGTCACAAGGGAGAGAAGGGGAAAGAAGTAATATGCATACCTCTTGTGGAACCTGTAAAGGACAGAGAGAGTGAGAGATGAGATTATTACTATGATGGGTGTGATCAGGAACACAGAAAGACAGGAAGTAAGAAATAAAGAAGAATCTGTGAATCTTGAAACATCACATTATAAAATATAATAAACAGTCACTCGGACTGTTTTTTACTACTGGAATCTAACTAAACATAATGTAACTGGTGCTTTTTTTGTTTCCTTATTTCTGCTAATTTAGTTCCCCATGTCTGGCCGACATGGGTATTACAACACACAACCGAACAGTGCTGACAAAAAATTTAAAAGAGGGGTGTAATGCACCGACCATGAACCACAACATGCCCCCAGCATTCTGGTTCCCATCCTCTCCCTGCATTTACTGTAACCTCTCTACTTTCAAAATTACTTTTTAGACTATAGAAAAATAACGGATGAAAACGCGTGCTGAAAAAAATCATTTGACATGGTAGATTCAGCCTAGTTAATGGTATATACAGTACTGGAAATGCTAGTAAAAAACATCTTAAAGGTTATGAGAACCCACAGGTTACAGGGTATTAAGTCCTTGCAGTGGAAAAGGCTCTCAGCAGCGTTTTCTGGACTGCAGCTAACCTCATAGAGGGCGAATCCAATGGTCTCCATGTCTTTGCCCTCCCGCCGTTTCTTCCTGCGGTCTTTCTGCATGAGCCCGACCAGGAAACTGCAATCTGGTTGGCCAGGAGTGTCCGGGTGCTGCAGCACAAGCTTGAACTGAGGGTTGAGCCAAAAAGTTGCTGGGAAGAAGAGTTGGAAAGGTCAGATAGTTCCTCTTTGTTTTTTATCAATTAGCAGTAATCAGGCTCATAAAGACTTTATAGATAGGCAACTGTATCTTACTAATAAAAACTGAAAGTTGCCAATTGAAATCAATTTTTAAATTTAGTGTCAGTAGTATAGAAAATAAATAACACAATTTGTCTTGGTCATAGTAGATCGAGAAAACAGACTTCCATGCATGTCCTCAGTCATGATGGGGCATTTCCAAAATTCATTTTAAAACAGGCCATTGTTTTGCTACTTATTGTTTAAATGGGAGTCACTGGTTCACATTCCTTTATCAAATTCACCCAAATCCTCCCTGCTTCCATGTTTTTTAACGTGTTTTATTCCTAAACAATGTCCAAAAGTAAAAGGGTCTTATTCAGCGTCTCTGCAACAGAATTTAACACCAGCACGGAATCCTAAAACTAGTTTGGTCAGTGCATGGTGAGAGAAACTCTGGAATGCATTAGACATTTTAAAGAAAAATAAATAATTCATACCTCCATCCATTCATCATCTACCTTCCAGTTTCCCCTCTTTCCTCCCTTTCAACACTTTATACCTGGGAAGTTCCTGCAGCCTCCAGCAGTGCTGCCTCTCCTCCACTCTCCCTGATAGAGCGAGGAGCTCCATTTCTTCATCTGGGTGTTCTGCAGGGCGTCAGCCGTCAGGTTGCAAAGCTCCAGACGGCTGAACTCACGCAAGAAGTCACTGAACGACATCCTGTGAGACAGAAATAGATACACTGTTGGGACAATGCAGAGACACAATGGTTCTAAGTTATTTTTCCATCACCAAGTCCAAGAGTTGAACCTTGTCTCTGTACAGATGACAAAGTGCACTGACATTTCAAACATATACTGTTTGCTGCTGAGAACATCAATATGTCAAACAGACGTTACAAAGGGATAAAGAGGTAAAAGAGCACAGAGTCTAACATGTCCTGGTGTTAGTAGAGTGTGGTCTTTGAGGTATCCAATCATATCATATACAGTAAAGTTATAATTTTGTTTGATAATGTGTCTTTGGCATCTGAAATAATACACATTTATTCCCATAATGGGTTAAACACTCATCAACGAAAGTACATTGAAATCACTGGGGCAGAAAGGTCTTTGGGGGTTTAACCGCATTTCTGGCCATACTCTAACCAGCAATGTCACATCAGGGGATTTTCTATCAGCCACTTACTTTGTTCTCACACAAGTAAGTGATGTGAGTCCACATGCACAAGAACACTCACCAGAATTCACCGTCCTCGCTGCGGTTTTGTAGCCGACTTCTGATGGAGCGATCCACATTGTCCCATTCTCTGGAGCTGAGGAGAAAAGATACAAAAATTAAAACAAAAGAGTTAACTACTGGACCCGAGGAAAGTCCAAATGTCATAAGTCATTGTCATTAGTTTTGCAGGTACTGTAGTGTAAATTACAACCCTCATATCTGTACTGGGTAAATGACTTTTTCTAATTGAAACTTTAGAAAAATCTGCAGTTAAAGTTAGACACAGAGACCATTTGTAGACATTAAAGCCACATACTAGAGAAGTGGGCAGAGACAGTAACTTTGGTACCCATTTTTCTCCTTTGTACAGTAAATTCTATAAAATTACTTAACATGGATTTACAGACACCTACAGAATAATTCAGGTTATGGTTTTGTATCTTTAAATCAGATAGAAAAGACTTTCAACAGGGAAGGTTTCATCCCCATTTGAATGTGTGAAGTGTTGAAAATGCTCATTTGGACTGTGACATAATGTTAGCAGTGGGGAAAAATGTCTGGTATTTTCACTTCCATACCATACTGTGATATTATATAATGTAATCCCGCCCATTCCTCCCCTCTGTCTTGACTCTTCTGCATAACTCAGAGGGCAAAAAACATTGGGGAGCCAATTTCACAGGGAATAAATACTAATGTAAAAACTGTCAACCTGTGGATAAGACTCAGCATAAAGATATGAGGTGGAAATTATCATTTTGATATCAAAAAAATGCATTTAACTCTTAATCTGGGTGAAAAACTCCTGAAACAACATTTGAATCACTGCAAGCAACTGGGAAATATGTGTTTTTTCCTGTTATGGTTTGCGATTTAACACCACGACTGTAACGTAATGAGTGTAAAGTAAAATCTTACTTGTCGCTCCAGGCTCCGGTCCATTCCACTTCCCCCCAGGGGTTCCTGACGCGAACCAGCTTAGTCGGATTTCCTCTGTAGACAACCTAACAAGAAACATCAATTGAAATTCACGCTTTGTCACTGCTTAACTGGTTTCAGTTGCGTGGTGTTAGTGGATTTCTTAAACGCCCTGCACACCAGTCATGTGTAACTACTGTAAGTTAGTGTGAAATTAATTATTAGAGTAACATAGAAGCATTATAAAAGGATGATGTCAGTCCTACCAGTTGAAATTAGGATTTGTTATAAGACGTTAAAGATACAGATTATAACAATGTTCTGAACTCAGCTGGTCTTTATTAATCATGTGACGATAAAATTAGGGATGCACTGTTAGAGAATATGTTGCAGAAAATCGATCTCTGGTACTCAACATGTACAGAATGATTCATTTAAGGTTTCAATCTATAATTTATTACAGTAAAAATGAAATTTTTTTACTGGAGTTTGGACCCAACTGCTACTAAAAGTTAACTAAACTGAAAAAAGTGAAATTTTACACTGTACCGCTGAGGCTACTCATTGCCACATGTTAACATCCAAATCATGTGGTTATTTACAAGCTAACAGCAGGTTACAACACTATCCACTATGGTGTGTTATAGTCCTGATTACAGCTACATCTAAGTCACTAAAATACAATTTTATTATTATTTTCAGTGTTGTTGAAGCAGCTAATTAATGTTAAGACCTAAACACATGACCTAAATTACAGAAACTGTAACTTATATAACATGTGACATAAGTCAACTCCAAGTCGTGGATATTTTAAAGACCCAAATGAGAAAATGGAATTGTTTTTATGAATGGCTTTATTTTACAGCTCTCTCGGCCTATATTTCCCACAAGGGATTCTGGTAGTTTCCTTTCAGTATGTTAACATGTCTTTGAAGGGTGAAAGATAAAGCTAAGGAATCATTTCATTTCAAGTAAATATATGAATAGGCATGACTTGATTTTATGTTTTGTTCCTTTTCACACACTTCATATATATGAAATTGCTGGATTTGTTTTGTCCATCGCAAACAAACTGATATGCTCCATTACCGCTCACCTCGTCCACAGCGGTCACAGAGTACGCGTGTCCCTTCACCAGCTTCTTAAACGTGACAGCCTCACTGTCTGCGGAGCTGGTGATCTGAGGATGAGAGAATGGACAAACAGAGAGGTCACTGACGTCTACAACACATTTTTACAAAGTCGGGATGACTGCGACACATGTGGGGAAAAGTATCTGCATGCTGTAGCTTCACATGTGACAGGATTAGGGACATCTACTGGCGGTCGTCACAGTCACTGACATAACGCGGCTCATTCATTAACATCAGCAAACTTTGCAGAGTGAGAAATCCATTATTGAGATGACTCTGACTGGTTGTTTCAACTAAATCAAGCAGCAGTCACACCACAAAGTGTATGTTTTTAACCCATGCTGCATACGTAATGTTATAAAGACTGCTGGGAGATCAACAGTGCTCTAAATCACTATCATCAGACTGGATTCCCCTTTTTTTTATTAGTAGGGGAGAGTGGGGTAAGATCATATTTAGGATCACTACATCAAGGCAATCATAGTTTTGTCGCTAACCAATATATCTGCATATATTTCAGGATGTTGTGCATCCCTTCAAACAAACAGAATGAGTGTAAACATAACTATTGTGATAATATAGAATGTCCAAATAAATGGTCTCGAGGCTCAACTTACCCCATAGGAGCGGGGTAAGTTGAGCCGTATCCCTAAAATGGTGCACTTTTATGCTAGATTTATGACCTCATGTTGTAGCTCATAGATACCACAATTGATGTATAAAACAAATTTAAAATTATCTATTTTGGTCTAAACACAATTCTCATGAAACTTATGATAGACTAAATTGACTTTCAAGAGTGAAAAATGATTACTTGGAAATAAATATCTAACCACTTTACCCATGTGGTTCTTACATTCACAGACTCCATGAAATGATGCCTTCCTCCTAAATATTTGGTCACATGATCAATGTTTTTTACCATTTCCTAGCAACAAGGGGTGGCTCAACTTACCCTTTGGCTCAACTTACCCCACTCTCCCCTATACTAAAATGGGAAATATGACTTACTTGCATACCATCATTCTTCTTTAATTTCTACAATGTTAAAACTGTAACACAACTGTGAACTCGCAAAAACTGCAAACTGTGAACACAGTTTTATTAAATTAAACCTTCTTGCAAGAAAAATTAACTAAAATCCATTTGTTTGTTGCTGTAAACCTCAATAATTTACTATTTCATCATCTCTGGTGCACAAATCTCTCAACCAGATGAGTTGAGATGAGAGTGGCAGTTCTTCCCACCCAAACTGAGCAGCACAGGGACACACAGTGATTACAGACAGACAGCGTTCAATCCCCTCTGTCTGCAAACATCCGCTTCACTGAAAGGTCCTTGAGAGTTAGCTGTACACCTAAGCTCATAATATATATATATATATATATATATATATATATATATATATATATATATATATATATAATCGTGACATTATCCGGGAGACATATTTCGTGCTTCTGTGTTAAGCAACACTGATGATATTGCTGAAAGAAAACATTTAAATGGGTATACAGAATGGACTCAGTGATGTCTCTATGAGTTATAAATCACCATAAAGCCGACGGGAGCTACACATTCTGGTGATAATTCTCTGTTGTCACTACATTGTGCTTTTTACGCATTGTTATTATAAAAACATTGATTATAGTCATGTTGTGTGATAAATCTTTGTTAATTTCCCATTTGCTTGGGTCAAAGGATGCATGAATGTTGTAGTACTGACGTCTATGGAGCAGCCCAGCAGTGATCCTCTCTCTATGGCTCTGCTGATGATGTTGTAGAGGTCAGAGGGGGCTTTCTTCAGATCGTACATTTCCGTCACGCCGCCTGTAAAGTCCTCAAAGCCCTCTGACGTGCTGCCTCCTGACAGAGCCTCATAACAGCCGTTCAACCTGGGAACAAGAGAAATAACGAGGATTTAAAATCATTCATTCAGTGCATAGAGAATGATTAGGTATACGAGCAGTACAGTATACTAACACAGAATCAATGACAAATATACAGCATAGGTTGATATTAATGGCAATGTTTATATGTAAACTATGCTGTCAAAAGACCTGATGTAGTTAGGGAGAAAAGTTCAGAGTAAGGGTACGGCATGTTCTCTGTCCACTGAACACTCACTGCTCTGTTCCTCATTACCATATATGAATACGTAACTACTGGCACGTAGAGAAAGAAATCTCACTTTTACATCACACTCTTCCTGTTTCCTCTCCAACTGGACAGCCCACTTAACTTGGCACTCACAAACAACGCTGTACTTTCAGTTTTAAGCGAATTTACAACTGGGACCACAGCTGTCGACTGGAGCAGCTGGAGTCTGAAGTTGCTCAATAGCTCCCGAAACTCTCTGGTCAGAGGTGTCTTTGTACAAAAATTCTCCCACAGGCTACAGTCTGCAAAAAGCAAAGCCTGTGATCATATGACCGAGATTTGGGACTGGGACTGGAACTTGAGTAGACCAATTTTTATGTCATGTTTATATAATGGTAGATTTGCCATATATATGCTGATAAATGTTATAAAAAAGAAAGCATGTCCACTTTAGCAGGCCGCAAACACAGCAAGAATGTTTGGATATTATCACTTTAAGGCACAAAAATAAAGCTAAATGTCCCAATATGGAAATTATCAAAAGTATATAACATATATATCATTTGACTTCTTCATTTTATAATGTAACATTAATACATCATTAGCCTTATCTGTCAGTCTCACTTAGCATAGGCCTTCTCCAGCAGGGCGCTCCAGAACTCAGTCCCCTCTGCAGAGTGGACAAACAGCAGCTTCCCATCCTTCACTGGCAGCCGGTCATCGATCACCACCTCCACCCACTCACCGAACTGCCAGAACTAAAAGACAGACAGAGGGAAATATCCATATTACACCTAACACTAACAAATTATTAACACACACAGACACAAATAAGATATATATGCAGAAGGTTAAAGGTTACAATTGGAAAATAGGGTAAATTAGCATATGTTAGAGAAAAAAATCTGATGGAGGGAGAAGTTTTCAGATCCTTAACTTAAGTTAAAGCACCAATACAACAACGTAAAAATACATGAAAAAGTCTTGCCTTTAAAATCCTTCTTTAGTAAAAGTATGAAGTACTTGAGTATCAAAAGCAAAATAACTGGTTCTACAGAAAATAGGCCCTTGACTGCTAAATTATTATATATTACATCATAGATTAAGTGCTATTTTATTGTTGAAGTGGAGACTTAATGGGTAACATTAAACTCTAGTCTCTCTCCAGCATCCTCACCGATAATTTAAACCTCAAAACCAGTCCTGCAAGCAAATCATTGTTTTACAAGGCAAATTAGCCGTGATAGGTCCCACCATTGTTTACCTGCTCAATACTCAACATCAGAGAACTTTCTAAGAACTCATATCCAGTAAATCCAGTCATGTTGCATAAAAGAACCTAAGGCAAGTTGTCTGAAATCTTAATTTCGGGGAACTCCTTAGAATATCTTTTACATCTCTGGCAAGATGATGAATCAGGAGGCAAAACAAGGCTTTGTAATTCAGCAGGTAAACTGAGGTAAATTAGGGCAGGATAAGTTTCTCTGAAATGTTTTCCTACATTAGACCTTCACACGTGGCTGTGTGCCTGTTGGCCAGCAGGGAGCAGAAGAGACCAACATATGAAAAGATGTCAGAGCCCCTTTACAGGCAGCACTGGTTCAAAAAGGGTAAAACCAGGCTGATGTCAAAGTGTCAGGAGTTTCTGTTGTTGTTCCCCAGCAACACAACCGAAAATCGTGCGTGAAATGTGGAAAACCTTATGGGTTACTTCCCACTACAGCTTTACTTGAGTCTTACTTTTGATGACTCAGAGTTTTTTTGGGGGGCATTTTATAATGAACATACTGTAAAAACATAAAATAACCAGCATTTACAGGAATAATAAAGCAATAAATCTGTTGCTACTTTTTACTAAGTTACCGCATTGGAAAAAAGCACCAAAGAAATGTTTCTCTCTATTCTCTGTTTTTCAGTTTGGAGAGGGGAGACAGTTTTAGAGGCAGTTGAAAAAGACACTCAGGCTCATCTTCCACTGTGCCTGATGTTCTAGTATAAAGGTGTAAATTACACTCTGGAAATGTGACATGGCTTCAAATAGAGGTCTCTTAGACCCAGACTACATCTGAACAGAGGCTGGTACATTTGAAAATTCATCTTTTTCACCCCACTAAGTCATCATTTTTAACCTACTCTAGACAATACCAGGCATAAGTCCTATCTTCCAGCTTTTTATGTAGCTTTTTTTGTTAGCAAGGGAAGCAAACCAAGAAACTGGTTGGACTCACATAGAAACCTTGAGGCTGTAATAAAATAATCCTCATGCAAAAGAAGAGCTCCCAGTGCAGTAATGCAGTGCTGAGATAGACATATTTCTATGTCAAAGCAATTAGATTTGTTGAACAGAGAAAGAAGGGGGGAGCTGAGAGAGGACTAATGTAGCAGGATTGTCATTTGGCAAATAAAAGGTGGAGTTTGGATGGAGTGTGTGCGTGCACCTCATGTTAGTATGTGTGCTCAGTGCAATGTGTGTACAGCAGGAAGATAGATGGATGGCTGGTTTGATGGATGAATTCTTCATGCCCTGCAGAGCTGAGTCCACCTCTGGGAGGAGCTGTGTCACAACATGGCTGAGTGAAGCCAACACAAAGTGCACACACACACACACACACACACACACACACAAATAGAAACACAGGCTTGCCCCCGGCACACACAATTTCTTCATTTTACTCTTTCACACTGACACTGCCGAGTGTTTATTTCACAGCGATGTGGGAGCAACAGCCGGTCTCACTGAGCGAAATGAACTCTTAACCACATCCTTGTCATGACTTGCAGTTACCCCGCCTTAAAGCTTGAGAAATCCTCCATACAGCTCAACAAACTGTTCAGAATTTCTGTGTGAAACATGCACTATAATAAGAATATAATAAAGCATTCTGCCCCAGTTAACGGTTTCATTTGTTTTCCGACTGAGATGGCTGAGATTGCCTATTTTATAATTTATTCTTTCTCCTTCTTTTTGCCTGCCTCGCTCGTTCGCACAGATTCCCTCCCTTTTGTTTCCTGCATCTTAAACAAATTAGGATTCCCACTGCTCATAATTACATTTTTGGGATGACTCATCCAGGTCTGCCTAACTTATTCCAGGGCTTAAAGGATCCGAACCGATACAAAGGGGAATCCTTGCAGGACTCAACAACGCACAAAGGAGATTGGAAACATGCTCAGACAGAAAAGAAAGAAAATGAGAAACTGCAAGTAATGGAAACACACAAGCATTTACTGGCTGCGATACAAACATCATGACAAGAGGCTTAAAACAAAAACTCATGCAGACATAAAAGAAAAAGATGAAACTAGGGCAACTCTTGGTTGGGAAGCAGCCATGTGTGTTTTCATGCATATACAATCAACACACGCATGCATTTACACGCCTTTAGAGCAAATGGAAGTATTATTTCCACTCATTCTAGCACAGAGAGCAAATGTGTGTGTGCGTGTGTGTGTGTGTGTGTGTGTGTGTGTGTGTGCATCTACTGAATGGAGAATGACTATATTTGACAATGTAAAAATTGTCTCTGTCCAGTGTCTCTGAAAATAATCAGTGAAAAACAGGCCAGATATGCTGCTTTCCCTTGGCTGCCTTCTCTGTAATTAAGTCACCAGGCCCAGCAGACATGTGTAAATGGGACCTCTGTGTGTCGGGTGGTATTTATTGATCTTTCGATATGAGATGAGTCAGCGCAGCCGCCCCAGAGCTGGTCTTTTTCAAGGTCGCTTCAGAAAAATGGACAACTACCAACAAAGGAACTGAAATCTTTGTCTGCAGGGTTTGACAGAAGGATTTCCCTGCTATGCTATTAGCCTAGCCTTGTGTGTGTGTGTGTGTGTGTGTGTGCGTGTGCGTACAGCTGACAGCAGCCAGTCTGAGCATTCAGTCTTTGTGTGCATGTGTGTGTTCTACATTAGAGAGAGACAGTTCCCTATGCATGTAATACGTGTCTTTGATATGCAAGAGCTTCCCCTCTGCTCCCTGTTTAGCTTCCTCTTTCTCTCTCCCTCGTCCTTCTAATGTCTCTCACTCTCGCTCTCTCTCTCTCTCTGTCTCTCTCTCTCACTCTCTCTCCCATGTCAACACTTGGCGGGCTGACAGTCTGGTTGGCACAGTTCTCACTGCATCAAAGAGGGCAGTCGACTCAGCTCGAAGCGCCCTGTGACAAAGCAGGTTAAGATGTTGAAGAATGATTAATTCCTGTGTTTGCTTCTTCCTTAAAAAGGTCACACAGAAAGAATAAAATGTCAATCTCCAGCTGTTTTGGGCATATTCCGAGGGTTTGAGAACATGAGAGGAATGTGAGTGGCTGCATAGTAAGACATTTTGGGGGCTCACAGTTGCTCCTGCCATGCAGACAAGCTGAGGGAGGCTCTGGAGACATGCTGGCGTGAGATCAGAGGAGTACTCACACTGGAGCACAGATGATGAGGCATGTGAGATCACAGGAGAGACACACTCCTCCACAGCCCTTCCTGACATCATTAAAGAATACTGAAACACGACAGAATAAAAATAATATCTAATATGCTAATCTAATGTGCTGTTTTCTGAAGCTTAAATAGTTGTAGGTTTCCTTGCTGTGTGTTTTGGTTGGGTTTTCTCGCTCTCCACACCAAACACAGCTTGTTGTTCATATGGTTTGTGATTCATAAAGTTACTGAGGTTGGTTATCAACTGGTTGAACATGAGCCACTTTCTGACTGAGGACAATGGTGTGAAAAACTTTAGGCTACAGTTTCTTTCCCACATTATAAGAACATTATTCCTGAGCAAAATTTATTCCCATTGAGAATGGATGAAAATTGCAATTTTGGTTGTAAAATATACTACAAACAATATATACTACATTCAAATTAAACTTATCTGTATAAACGACTGCTACAAGACTCTGCTACAATGCTATCTCATTTTGGACTGAATGCATGTGTTGTTCACCTGCTCACAGACCTGTGTCATTGTCGTTGTGTGCAGCTACTGTGAGGTCTCAAATTTGCCTGGGATTTTGTGTGTGTAATGCGGTGTGAGTTCAAGTGCACGTGTGGAATATTTGGTTTTGTATATAAAGCAAAGTTCAGTTGATAAGGCCGGCTAGTCTGCCAGACGCTCGCACCATAGAGATGAATAGAATGCATATTTTGTATTTAAATTACAAAGCAGCAGGACTGGTCTTCATGCATGGAAAGTGATACTGAACTATAGTTAGAAACCTCAGATGACGACTCAGGGTTTGATTGTCAACCGTGGTTTTGTCTTGATAGATACGACAGATCATATCTTCTCTTGGCTTTAAAAACTCTGTGTCCGATAAAGAAATGGGCGTTGGTCACTTTGGAGAGTGTAGTTAAGTTTGATGGTGACTCAAATGCTCCCAGGTAAAGTTTATTGATGGGCTGAGTGGGTGTGGATAGGAGAGTTCAGTTATCTTGGATGACTCAGTGGGGTTTGACAAATGAAAAGAGCCAGATATGAGAGGAAAATTACTGTTTTAAATCCTCGGTCTTGCTGGGAAATTCTAGGGAAAGAAAGAATGACTTACTCTGAATAACTAACAAAGATAGGGGCCTTTTGCAGAGCAGTTTTTTGTGAGTGTCACGGCCACCGTTGTTTCTCCTACACACTTAATAAATAAATAATATATTTATAAATAAAATAAATAATTGCAATCTACAACTTCAATGCTAGATATGCCACAAAATCCTACACACTGGTCCTTTAAAATGACAGTCAATTGATAACTGATAGCATGAATGTATTCAAATAAATCGGTAAGCTGCTCCGTGTTTTAAATGAAGGTATGAAATATGGGGAAAGAATATACATTTCTGAACCGATTGTGACTCAGTTTCACAACAAAAATGTCATCAAGCGTCTGACCACAGATCAACAAAATCTTTCAAAGTAGCTCCAACTCTATATTTATTTTGGCAGCTGAACATGATACTGGTTTGCTTGCGATGGGTGAATACAAAAAGTTAAATACCGCTACTACACAAAAATGCAACAAAATAAACTTTTCCACCTTGGTTTGAACCAAAGAAAACTAACTTTGATTTTAGTCAACAGTTGCACAACTGATGGTGCACCTAGCAGGAAATTACACAACAGGAAGCCGTGGGGCAGAAAAACAAATTAAAGAAGTGAGCAGGCACAGAACTGCTGGCTCACATTCATTTTCTATGGCTGAATCCAAATTACAGGCAGATGTTGCTTTTCATCCACTAACAATGTAAAAACTCCTCAGTTAAGGTTTTAATAAGAATAGAGTATCAGCAGTGTTGAGTACTAATATGCATGACTATTTCTGCTATATTATAAGCAGCAGACTCATAAATTGCCATTTGAGATTATCAGGAATTTAAATGAATATCCATAGAAACGACTTAGGTCTGAAGTCCTATCCCAGGTGACCCAGTATGCTTGCAGAAATAATGGTGGTACATATGACAGAAGTCTACAAGGGTTCAGCCTGCAAGTCTTAAGTCTCTCTATTATTGTAGTATTATTAAGTATTATATGTATGGACATAAACGACAGTAACATAAACAGATGTGGCTCCTACATTGGTACAGTACTGTGAAACTTAACAGAAACAACAGTGGAAGTCGCAGTAATTTAAATTTTGATAACCAGATAAAACTATTGAGCTGCCCATTAAGGTTGTCACGATAATAATACACATTAATAATACACATATGATAATATTGTGTAAATAATCCAGCACCCGGTAAATCATTAACATATCTTTTCATTCCCACTTTGTGGTTCACAATCAACATAGTAGGCAGCGGTAAAGCACCTTAATACTGGTTGCCAGTGTTACAGTTGAGTGTAATTCATTTGATAAGTGACTTATCTAACCGACAAGATAACTCTGACTTTTTCTAATCTTCTATTGATATTGCAATAATATCATTATGGTGAATTCTTTTTCCCACGATAATTGTGTAGTGCTATCATGACAGCCCTAACCAGGTGGCTGTTGGAGTGTGGGAGGTGTCAGTTGTGTTTGTTGAGTTTCTATCCGTTAGACTGATATAAATGTAAATGCAGGAAGTGGAGCTGTTGTCACCTGGAAGTGAAAGATGCCGGCATATCCCTGTCCAAAGCTCTGTCCATGAGGAACCACTCTGTGGAGGAGATTGTTGTTTAAGGTCAGGGAGGCAATGGCTGCCAGCAGCCAGCAGTCCCCTGTGAACACACACACACACACACACACACACACACACACACAGTTTTATTTCCCCTGGTCAGACCTGAATGCTAAAAAATCAGTCCTACCATGATGCATTTAAATTGTGTGTTAACCAGAATGACAGCAGGTTGTTGGATTTTAAATAATCCTCATTTGTCCACTCTCCATTCCCATATTGGCAGAGAGCCTCTCCTTCATCTCCACAGAAGTCAAGCACTTATTTTCCATAAAGGTCAAATTCTTAGAGTGAACCCACTCAGTGGGAAGTCACTAAAACTAGAATTTGCCTATTAACAGCTCAGTAAAGACAAGAGTGGGGAACCATGTTTGAACAAGCTTTTCCTTCTGAGAAATGGGAGAGGAACTTGTTCCACTGGACGGGAGACGGGCTGAAACCACCACAGCTCCACAATAAGTCACTTGTATTAGTAGGAATCACACTATGGGTTTGAGCCACAATAGCTGTTGCTGTTACGATAAATAGTACTGAAAAAGTTAGAGGAGAGGATCACCCTCACTGCCATACTGTTGTATGTCATCTAGATAATCTCATCAAAGACAAAAACAGTGGTCTTTGTTGTGTTATCTGACTTGCTGAGGCTCAGTTCAATAGTGTATAAAGCTACTCTTTTAGTGAGTAGTTTAACATTTTGATTGGTTCATTCTCATGTCTGAATATCATTACTTTTTGAATGTTAATGCATACTAAGTTTAGCGAATGCATCTATTAATGCTGGTTAATGACACACAGAGCACCTGCACTTCTATACCGAAAGCACAGGCTGCTTTGCTTTTATGTTAACATATTTATATTCTTATCTGTCATATAATCTATAAACAGTCCCTGATAGCAGCCGGGGGGTTGTCTAACAGATAACCCTGTGTGACTGATAAAGACTACTCAGTCATGGCGCATTTTGGCTGTAAAACAAATTACGTCTTCTGGCTCAACATTATTGGGGTTATTGTTTTGCAATTCAGCTGCTCCTCTGGGAGTGAGGGGAGGTGGGTAATGTATTTTTTTTTTCCATTTTGAGATAGGGGAAGTCACTTCCCACACTGACAGAGCTACTGAAACAGAGGGGGGGTGGCGTTGTTTACAGATGTCAGGCAGAGAAACAAAGCAAACAAATGAATTATTAATGGAGCTCTGCGTCGATGAGGAAACATCTCAGGCAATAAACTGTAACTGGTCCTGCTGAAGTGACTACTGACTGTCTTCCGTTTCTCTTCTCCTTTAGGCTGTCTATCTCCATCTGTCCTGATTCACTTTGCCCTGTTGATTTCGATCACTCGTTTTTTAATCCTTACTGTAGGTAACCTGGCATGTTGACTATAGAGCTCAGTTTATTTACATATGCAACGGGAGCTGGTTAACTTAAGGATAATCTTTTATAAAAAAAAATTCTAAACTCTTGGTTAAAATTATTTATATTATATTCAAAGGGGAATTTCACAAATTTTGCACATTAAGGTCAGTTAAAGGGCACTGCTCAGTCTGTATAATAACTAATTAATATTAATTTATTCTGTGGCTCTGGAGAAGCTTTCCTAAATCTGAGAAAATATTATTAATTGCAATCTACTACAATCTACTCACAATTCCCCCAAAACTTTATGTAAATTGATGGCTCTGGCGGACATTGCCAGGCTAGTTGTTCCCTCTTTGTTCAAGACCGTATGCTAAGCTAAGCTATCCGTCTCTTGGTTTCTTGACATGAAAATGTGACTTATTATAGCAGCAAAAGCACAGCATAAAAACATCAACAACGGCTAAGTTCTAATCAAGTGTCCGCAGTACCAGGACCCTGAAAATGAAGCAGCTAAAAGGAATTCAGCCGTCATTAATGTCGTTAGTTACACCAGAGCTTTTTCTTCTCTGAAAAGGGTCTATTATTAAATTGGCCTTAGTAAAGGCTCAGTGTATTACTCAAGGGCCTGTTGTTCTGAAGGGAGAGGGAAGCTTCACATATTTATGTCCTACATCTCCCAGTTAGACTTGCAACCTGGCAAACCTCCAGTCAATCACCTGTCTGTCCTGGCTTCTGCTGACATTCCTCACTTTGACTTTCTACCAGATTAAACCTGAGCTATTTCTCTCCTCTCCTCTCCTCTCCTCTCCTCTCCTCTCCTCTCCTCCCCTGTCCTCCCCTCTAATATCTGAATCATGCTGTAATAACAGTGAAACAGTTGGGCACTCTCCCAGTTGGACTCACCCAGAGCTCCTTGGCAGATGTCTGTGCGAGTAGCTCCATCCACAATGAACTCGGGGCGTTTGCAGAACTCCTGTCCAACGCGCGCACACACACACACACACACACACAAAGAAAACCAATTAGTACTATTCTTGCTTTTGGATACCCATTTTACAAACATGTTACATTTGCTGTCTTTTTCATGTTGACTGTGTTGATTAGTGTCAAAGCGTAGCCCAGGGATCAGCAACCTTTACTTACAAAGAAGCCATTTTTGGCCAGAAAAACAAAAACACAATCTGCCTGGAGTCGCGAAACATATTTGAGCCTGATAATGCAAATTGATTTCTCACCACATATCATGCATAACCATGAGCCAAATTTCATAGATAGTCCAGCTAGGCAGACTCAAGACTGATAGCCACCCTTATTGAGGTTTGCCAAAATATAGAGGAAGGGTGAGGCGCCAGATCAGGACATAACGCATGAACCAATGACGTAGGCTAAGCCGCATGTGGCTCTGGTGGTTGACCCCTGATCTAGTCCAAAATAGGTTTCAACAAGTCAAAATAGTTTTGAAAACCTCCACATCACCAGTTAGAGTATCCTTTGAAATGAGGCTCAAATAAATGTCTATAGGATGCTCACTAGTCTGTTATTTTTAGCCAGACATTTAGATAAAATCTACATCATCATCATAACATTAGTTTTATTTCTGGGCGTCCAGGTCAGTGATTGGTCAGACACATCATGGTGTTTCGTGTGAAGACTTGACAAAGCAAAGCAGCTAGACAAGCAAAGGCTTCTCATTTAGATTCTATTTAAAATGTGTAATCAAAAACGTACATACAACACATTTTGGTTTAGAAGCAGTCACCAAAGTTGTACCTATAGTACATCCCGTCAAGCAAGCATGCTATTTATTTCCCCAAAAAGCTAGTCACATTGGTTTTGCTTCTGCTTGACGCTCAGGCTGATGCTAAAGCTGTCAGTCAAGAAATAGCCCTTAAAAACACAATATCAGATTTTCAGATTTGGTGCTTGAGTAACACAAGATAAAACACAAACAGTGCTGTATACATATAAGACTGTTCAAGATTTGAAGTTGTTAAAAGGTGTATTTTTTTTTACTTATATTACCTAATAAAGTTGAAATGCCAATTTCCAAAAAAATACTTTTTATTCTGTAATAGCAACTTGAATATCAAATTTCCTATATGTGAAGCTGCTCCTTTGAAAATGCACGGCTAAAATTAACACCAGACTATTTGAGGACTTCTAGAGATCACATAATAAACATTTCAGGAGAACAATGTCGCATTCTAGTGTTTCTTGTTCACGTCTTGTTTCCCAGTATCGCCCTGCTTCATGTACCATCTTCTACACAGCATGTTGAGCCTGAGAAACCCCACGCTACAAAGCTATAAAAAGAAGTATTCCATTTATCCTCGTGCCCCGCAAGCGCACGCACAAGTACACACGAACCATCAAGCACATGGGGGAATTCACACAAACACACGAACACCGGCTGAAATGCTCTTTTTCAGGCTCACACAGGGCACAGATTTGGGGGGCAATGTGAACACCATGAACCCTCTTATTAAATATAGATCCTGTGGTGCAGGAAAGAGAGCATGCATTATGAAACATCAGACCTTTTGGAGAGAAACGACCCTTGGAAGCATTAGAGCCAAAAGACACACATAGGGCATACACATGTTCAAAACCCATGCGTCTACACACTCAAATGGAAGCTGCGAGAGGAGCCAAAAGCTGCAGTCACGCTGACGATCACAACCCAGAGAGCTTTTAAGATCACGACTTGTCTTGCTTGCTCTTACCATTGCTGACAACAGTGACTTGTCACGGTATGTGCAAATCGAACAGTACTGAGAGCACGCTGTCAGCAAGGTTCGCGTGATAACGCCTAATGAAGACGGTACCAATTCATTCTCTGGTGTCATATTCGGCTACAGGGAGCACCTGGGAGTATTTATAATGTATTGAGCAGTGATGAGAGAGAACACTGAGACAAACAAGCAGGAAAGGTCTGGACGTTTGGGGAGACACGTGGAAAGGATGAAAACCAGGAAGAGAGTGATGATACACGCAAACAGGACTCCTGAGTGCTGTTGTTGGAACATTACAATGATATCTACCAATCACTCCTGAGTCCTGACCCATAGTCCCTGAAAGTTTAGTTGCCAAGCAACAGATGAAATTCAAGTCTGTGAGTAAAGGTTGCTTGGGGATAATAAAAAAGCTTAAAGGAACAAAGAATGGATATTCATTCGGTTATCTCACTCCTGAAGTCATCAGTCAGTGTCTGATTGATTTCATCAGATCATCAAACAAGTAGAAAGTTAGTGTTCATACTTCCTTTGCAGCTTTCTCTCAAACTCTTGAAGTAAGTATATGTTTTCCAAGTGCTGGGTTCAAGTGCTGGTTGGATGCTGACATACAAGCTAGATTGTTGGAAAATCAGACCAGGAAGTAAAAACAAAAAGAAAACGGAGACATTGTGAAATAAATCACACACATTTCTTAGCTTCTTGCATTAAAAGGGTTGCAGTTTCATAAGATGTTGGAGCTTTTTTCTAACTGCACTTGAACACACCAACTTACACTGTCTAATGAACCAGCTGTAACTTTGACAGATATCTGACACGACCTACTGATGATGCTGCCTAGAAAATGTGTTTACATATAGCGAAGTACACATATATGATATATATTTGTAATATACTGGCTAAAAATATACAAAATTGAGAGAATAATTTTGGTTCCAAATTTGAGTGTTTTGTATCCAAACAAATAAAAATTTGATCTAAAATTCCAACATTTACAGGAATAGCTCCAACATTGTCCTAAGAATGGTCTGCTCATTAATGCTCTGACAGACTCTACTAGCTGCTGTAGAATTTATTTCGCTTTTTTTTTTAGGTTTAGAACGTTGCCTTAAAATTATATTAATAGTTCGGGAAAGTCTACAATTAAACCACAGAACCCCACTTGTGGTGGTACTACCAAGCTCAGTGAAGATTTTGCTGATACGAGGAAGAGCAATTCATCACTTTATAATGAACTGTCCAACCAACCTGATTGTTTTATTGCTTCCTCTGTGCAACTCTCAAAAGTCAGAACTAATAATAATAATAATACCACATCTCCGTTCAAATTACCCAGTCGTCTCAGAGCTCTACCCCACCCTCCCTTTCTCACCGTGGGTCTCATCCAGCGGGTTCCTAGGGTCTTGGAGGATCTCGGGCCGAGCTCATTGAATCCCAGAGATGACGCAGCACAAGGGAACAAATGATCCTCAAACAGTTTCCCACTCTGCAGGCACTGGGCTCTTAGACTCTCATAGTCCTGACCCAGTAACTTCACGGCGTTGTGGTTCTGTCCCAGACCATCATTGCGATCCCACTGGCTCCTCAGCTTGGCGGCCATGCCTGTAGCATAAATGTGCTCCTCCATTCTGAGCTTGTGGGGTAAACAGTGTAGGGTCAACTGCTACTCTGTGTTGGATGTTTGTATGTGTGGAACTACAATATGATGTAAAGATGTGTTAATAATTAATGAAGCAAATGTTATCTATTGTACACTGCGGCAGTTCTGATTTGAATCTGATAAAAGGTGGTAATGGATTCAAGGCTCAATCAATCAGAATGAAACATCAGTAGCCATTAAGAAGCTATTAAATATTGATGAGAACAGGCCGCCGCTTGGTTGCGGTACTTGTGGTTCTGCTGTAGATGGATACTTCCGATCCAATAACAATCACAAGTGTAGGGGGCTCGAAATGCGTAAGCTCCACAGGCTCTGGTCCTCACGGTGAAGGCGAATCTTATCCCAAAGATATACCAATCACAGTTTGTGGCTTTCTTTTTAAAATCCAGATGTCAACAGGAGTGCAGGGTTTCAGTCCTTCCGTGTCCCACCAGCAGCTTAAATCCTAAAAGAAAGAAGTTGCAGTGAAAATGAGATACTGAACAGTAAAAGTAGAGAAAGTATGCAGAGATGCACGTTCATACACAGCTCTGTACTGTGTGCAGCACAAAGGCAGAAGCTGTATACACCCTCTATACATGCATTAAGGGTTTAAAAGTCGAATGAGCCCTACCTGTTTCTTTTCAGTCAACTATATACACACATGCTCGCCACGCATAGCAAAGGGATTAGTCACAATAGGCACACCAGTGCTACTTTTACTGCGTGGTGCTGAATGTGCACAGAATGTCAGAAACGCATTAAAGTCAATGTTTAATCACACAGTTTACAAACCGTTGGACGGTAGCTCTGTGTGTGTGTGTGTGTGTGTGTGTGTGTGTGTGTGTGTGTGTGTGTGTGCGTGCAGTGTTTATCGTGCGCAGGGGGATGACAGAGGGTGTGGTTTTTCTGTGAATCTTGATGCACAATGAAGGCAACACGCGGCCCACAACAAGCAAAAGCTCTTTCCCACTCTTTAATTAAGCAGAGCCAGGGAGGAGGAAGTGTAAACTGTCATTAGTGCCACCGAAGCTCTTGGCAGAACTGGAGCTTCGTGAACAGTTCATCTCAGTTCGTCTGACTTTGTAGTCCTTTGCTTTGCTCCTTCCTGTCTGTCAATTTAATGTATTCAAACAGACGTACACGAAAGGCAGGTTTATTTTTAACAACGCGTCTCTTTTTTTCTTTTACTACTCCACTATCCAAACTAAATACTCTTCCTGTTTCAAGACTCGGCTGTCAGTCACAAGAGCAGCTGAAAAGAGTTTGGCTCTCATTGGCTCAAAGAATGCAGCCCCCGTTTCCCCCTGCTTGCATTGAACCACACCCATCAAAAATGTCCCAGCTCACTGAGTGAAAAAAGTTCCTGCTCACAGAGCCAGAGAACAGAGCGTGTAGCAGCTACGACAACAGGTTTCCAAGTCTGCTGCAGAGTTTGACAGACTTGTTTTATATGAGAACTTGTGTAAAATCCAGCTTTTACTACAATTTCCACAACTACTACCACTAGAAAGAGTACTACAATTATTAGTACTGCTGCTGGGCTACTACAGCTACAGTGTTACTAGAACCACTACTGCAGACACTTCTGCTACCGCCAATGATAGCACTACTTTATGACGCTTACTGACCAAAATACGTTATAGCATCGTGTGTCAAAAGCTAACATTGAATGTCTGGCCAGATTTGAACTCTTCATTACTTATTGTTTGGTCAGACAGTATTTAAATAATTTATTTAGATTATATTTAGGTAATGTTTAAATAAAAGTAAAACATTGCAAAAACTTTAAAAAACTGACTTTGTATAGTCTATTAAAATTTGCCACAAAAACATTTATAATTTTACAACCAGAGGGTATCAGTGTAAGTCAATGACATTTTTTAAAAAGTAGACCCTAAACCAACATTTAGTAATAATGGACTTTGCATGAAACAAAGCCTTAAACTTACCTGTTTATAAAATGTTACACCATGTCTCTTTATACGAAAGGAACACTTTGTAAAAAATATGTCAAATATGTCGATACATTGTTACACTATATTACTGTTACTGCAGCTATTTCTGCAAATCCAATACTTACAGTAACACACATATCATTTCATTTTTATGTTTTAATTTTTTTGGGCTACTTTAATAACAGTTATTAAAGAAAATCAGTGACCAACGTATATGTGCTGGCATTACTGTTCCACTAACTTCCCAACCATTCAGTGGTGTGTGTCTCTGCTGTGTCTTATCGGGGCACAATCTTCCCCACATGAGTTCAATCTGGCTATAATGAATATTTCATTTCCACTCACATGTGAAACACACTCATACACACGCTCACAGATATCCTCCACCTCAGTGCAGGTAGTGACATTTATGAGGAATGACAACCAGTGGACTGCACGTCCAGACACATACGGGAAAGCTTTGAGGCTCTTTCACCATCAGATGCATTCTTAACAACAGGAAGCCGAATCACAATAATAGACAAATATTAAAGACTCTGCCGGAGCTAAAGTTAGAGAATGAAAGAACTCTATGGAAACAGATGCATGCACCAGATCATATGTGTACTCCAAATGCATCAGCGTGATATTTCCTCCATTACTAAGTAATGAATGCCAACCATGTGCAATTAACCCTTTCTAAAGGGGGAATTAGATAACATACATATTATGTTATTATCAGCTGTTATTATGCAACTTGAGAAAAAATATGGGTCAAAAGTATACAGTAAAGACATATGAGGGGGGGTCATATGAGTTTAACCACAGTCACACAAGGATTTTTTAAACCAACACAAACGTCAGTACAGCGTCTGCCACTGCTGCTTTTCTGCTGATGGGTGTCTGCACAGTGGTTTTACTCTCACGACACAGTGAGGGGCACAGACAGCGTAAATACACTCTGATTGTAACTATCATGCCTGTGGGTGTTTGAGGTCCAGTGTTTGTGCTGCGAGTAAGCATTATGGTAGCCTCTTGGTGTATTTCTGCATGCAGGGTTCATATTCCAAACACTGTTGAAATGAAATATCCAAAGTGTTTTGTGCCTTTAAAGCCATGGAGAAAATAGACCTGCAGAGAAACTAGACACCCACAGTGTCCAATGGGGAAAGTAAATGCTGACTTTATGAGTGATTTTTATCAAAAGGAGGAGGGGGGTGAAGACAAACACAAGCTGTGCATGTAACACTTATTCTACTTGAGTGGTTTAATTAAAGTGAAAATCAGGTCACTTGTACGTGTACTTTAAAAGCATATCCTGGTGGTGCATATTCAGTTTATATGGACACATGGCTCACACAGATAAACATGTAGTCCTGATGGTAGGTGTGGTCCCTGAGAGAGGAGAGATACAATGTCCAGCTGTCAATACTGCAACTTTTCTCGAGTTGAACCACACGAACAGCTGGGCGACCCCATTTCCTCTCACCTCACTCTCAACAAACATAGTATCCGTACCACAGTAAGCAGGAAGAAATGCAACCATAACATGAGATTTGCGCACAAACGACGGCGTAACGTTGGCAGATTTCATGGTTTCAAGGTGTCCTGGAAGTTTTAAGAGGCTGGTACTATTGTGCGAGGAGTTTGGTTTACATGGTTGATTACATTAGTGTTCGCAATGCAAAGGCTCACAAACTCATGTTAAAAATAAATAAATAAATAAATAAATAAAAAAAGTTCAGGCTAGGATGTCAGAAGCATTTAAAGATATATATCTTCCTGCAGCGAGACACAAACTGTAAAGTAAAACCAGTGTTGATGAAGGAATCTTATATTTACCTTGCCGGGTGTTTCCTTTAAAATGCAGTTACTTAGACATTCAATGTGCTACTTGAGTTTCTCTTTTCTCTTCCATGTTTTAGTGTGGGTTCGTCCCCTCCCCTGCTCTTTACCAGTGCTTATTATTAAGTAACGCCCTGCTGCCTCGGCTCTAATCTGTCTGCGCCCCCTTCACAGTGCGCCTGCGCAGTGTCCGCTAGCCATAAATCACACTACACTGAAAGGGAGGGGTTACACGTACCCTGTTCTTCCATGTAGTTCTAGTCACAGCATAACCCGCTTTAAAGAGCAGTTCAGTGTTGATAGGTTAAAATAATACACATTGTAGCGAATTATTTTGGCATTAGATAAAGTTTTAACAATTAATCAACGTGTTTCCATTGGGCATTACTGTGAAAGTTAATGTGTCCATGTGTAGCTTTGCCTTTTTCAGGGGCGGAATGTATTAATATGCTATATTTATCTACTTAACTAGGCATATAATATGAATTGTACTTACTTTACTTATGTTTGAAACATTTAAAACGGAATTTTAGAGGAAAATGTTGTCATTTTTTACTCCAAAACATGTATCTGACAGCTGCTGCTTACAAACTAATACATACCTAATAATGCATCTTTAATAATGATCCAATGATATATAATAACATAACACTGACATGCGTCATTCTGCTGCATGATTACAACTAAACTTTTTAAAAATGTTGTTGAATTAGTAGAATTAACTTTAACACTTTTGCACGCAGGACTTTCACTAAAACACTACCACGCAAGAAACGAGGAGTCAACTCTGACATCTAGAGGCTTTTATCAGTAAACGCAGTGTCCTCAGTTCGGACTTCATGTCCCAGCAGGCAGTGCGGGAGAGAGTACTTCCCGTCAAGCTTTGCGCTAGTCCCGTTCTACGCGTGTCTTCCGCTGCCGCCGTTGTTTCATTGAGAAAACCTCAACATGGCATCCGACGGACCACCGGGCACCGAGTCCCTCCCGTCCGATTTAGGGAGCGCTATTGCGGCATTGAACACATGGAGCCACCCGGAGCTTCAGTCCAAGCTGGCGGAGCTGGGAGCGCCCACGATGGGTAAGAAAAGACCGGGAAAACACGGAGAGCGCCCCGGAGGGAGGACTGTGTTTAGCTAACAGGAGCTAGTCAGTTGCTAACGCTAGCTAGCAATACGCAGCACCTCCGTTGCGGTGAGCTAAAGCTAGGCCTGCTGTGTGTTTACTCTCTACTGTATATATATATATATATTTATATATTTATGCAGTGAATATACCAATACAGTGTGTTCAAAGTAGCACGTACACAAACATTCATCTGGCCCATTGAGTTAGCTTTCTGGCTAACTAGCGCTTGTCAAGAGTTAACGTTACTTAACTTCTCTGGTAGTCTGTGTAGTGTTGGTGAGGGATTAACTAACCCAGTGTGGTGAATACAGCGCATATTCATAGTGTTAAATCATGACTGCTGGTAACATAAGAGTCTACGAGTCTACATGTACTTCTTGAATAAAGTTTTTCGTCGTTCTTCAGGTCCCAGAGAGGAGCTGATGGACAGACTGAAGGGCTACATGATGCAGGTAAATGTAACCACGAAGTCCGTGTAACAGTGTATCTATCAGATATTCCAGTGTATTAACCTTGGATGTCTTGAGTATTCGTAGCAGCATTGCCATAGGGAGCAGCCTACTTAATTAGTGTTGTTGATCTTCTTGAAGCTTACACATGAATAGGTAGCGATAATGCATTCTTCAAACTTAGTTGAGATGAAGTTGTTTCTGCCACTGTTTTAATGTCATTATTAAAATGATGCACAATCAATGATACTGTTCTTCTAACCCTTGTCTCTCTCTGCAGACTGGGATCCTCCTCAGCAAACCTAACGATGACAAATCAATGGGCTCGCAGGTAGGTTTCAAATGGAAAATGTATCTGAAAATCTATAATTATCTATTGTCTGCTATTTTCTCACGTTGCTCTTTTATTTGTTTTTCACACACACACACACACACACACTGCTGTTGGATCTTCACAGATTTCCTGGATAAGATGATATCAGTTTAGTGTGTATTCCTAACTTGTGTTGTATATTAAAGTTGAATTGAAGTTACATTTGTATCTGACACCCTATTTTGAAGTGTAACGATCACAATGTGCTGCATCTTCAGATTTCTGGGAACAGAAATTATGTAATCATACACAAATGACTAGTATTTGACAAATATAATCTGGTTATGTGTATATATTGATTTCTCTCTCACTACATGACGGAACGGTTTACCACTTTACTGTTACTATTAGTGGTATATAACATATTACAAGTTTATTGAATAGTCTAATAACAAGCATGAAGCCTCACTCACAGCCTCTCCTCTGCAGGTGCCAGGTATGCCTCCTATGCCCCCGATGCCCATGCCGCCCTTGCCTCCTGGTATAGGCATGCTCCAGGCTATGAGCATGATGCCTGGAGGGCCCCCTCCACCAGGCATCCACATGGGCATGGAGCCCCCAGGTTTGCCCCCACCAGGCCTGTCGCAGGAGGATCAGCTGAAGATGGCCCAGCAGAGAGCAGCTATGGTGCTACAGCAAGAGGAGAGAGCCAAGCAGCAGGTGAGGGTGGCTGGACTGCAGGTTTACTGTGCGAGCCACTTGTTGCATTCAGCTTTGCCTTTAAAACACAAACAGCACTGAGATGCACTCAGTCTACGAGATGGTAAGATTAAGAGAAACAGAAAACAGGCCCAGAAAACAAAATGACACCAATTAAAGAAAACAACCCAAAATATCTCCTCTGGATGATGTAAAAAACAACAACACAGCAAACAACTGCTTCACTTATAACTGATGGCTGCCAGATAGAAGTTCCAGTCACTATAGAGCAATGCAACAAGAACTTTCTGCTTTTTGGAAAAAAATGCAGGACTAGAAATAGTCTTTATTTGACTGTTGCTCGGTCATGAATTGTGTCTGTGTATCACAGGGCGATTCCCATGTCTTGGATGAACACGATCTCCTGGAGCAGCAGAAAAGGGTGAGACGGTGAAGATAGTCCCCCTGTTAAATAGTCACTTAGCTATAAGGATCTGGATATAGGAGATAGAGCTCTACTTTAGATTTAAAGATTACAAAGACATCAAATAGGACATGTTCTTGTTGTGTGTACAATTTACTTTTGTGTCACTTAATTCATTGAACAAAAGATTTTTGTACATTTCCAAATTAACAGTTTAAAAATAAATCCTTCATCAGCATTTAGGGCATCCTTTTCTCTTTTTTTCCCCTTCTTACACCCTCGATCTTACTCCTTTGCTTTAACCATGTATTTGACTCCCATATCCTCTTTCCTTGTATATCAGGCTGCAGTGATGCTGGAACAGGAGCGTCAGCAGGAGATGGTTAACATGGGGGGGCCCAGATCCATGCCTACTGTCAGCGTAATGAGAGGTATGTTGGTGATTTACTGATTATTTTCAGTTTTTGTATTCTTGCTGCACATTACCTCACCCACAATACACGAGAAATTCTTATATCACAGCTATAAACAGAATTATATTTCCAGACAGAAAATGACAGTGGCGCTTTCAGGGCTGATTTTATATCCTAAATATTTGGTGTAAAAAAAAAAAAAACTTTTATCATCTCCACACTGTCTTTTTTCAGGTATAGATCCTCGTGCGCCGCTACCTCCTGGTGTCAGTATGTTGCCAACCCAGAAACAGAGAGTGCCACCTCCTCCAGGAGAAGATAACAGAGAGGTAGGCAGATGTTTGTTTTTTCTTCTCTTTTATGTGTTATAATGTTAGGAGGCAAAAATGCAACTCTTTTAGCTGACTTCAGTTTAGAGTCATTTTTGTTCTTTTCCAGGAACTTATAACTCTTATGGATTATCAGCAGGAGACTATCATGTGCTACATTCTATCTATCTATCTACATTGTTATACATTTTTTTGCTACCACTGCAGGCCTGGCAGAACGAGGAGGTAAGCGTCACTGGGCCCAAGATCCCTCAAGCTCTGGAGAAGATCCTCCAGCTGAAGGAGATCAGACAGGAGCAGCTCACCGACCCCACAGGTCAGTACAGCTGCACTTTTTCTGTTTGACAAAAGAAATAAACTGACTTAAGAAGAAAGAACTGTTGACGGTTAAGACCCTTCTGCACGCTGAAGAAGATAAAATAACAATTACTCAGTGTTTAACTGGAATAGAAAGGGACACTGGGAAGTTGGGATGTGGTAACATTCCAGTTCATAATCGGATTTTCTCTTGTTTCTGTTTTATCTTCTCTTGCTTTCAGAAGAGGAGGAAGATGATGAGGGAGCAGAGATGAACTCCTCTGCACCAGTCATGTCTGAGACAGAAGACGATGACAGCCAGATATCTAAGAAAGATGTAAGACACCTTTTTTCTGTTAAAACATCACAGTTCTGTACTTGATATATTTCAGTTGTTTGTTATTATAGAGTATAGAACTCATACAGATGCAAATTCAGTACCTGAGAAAAAAAAACCATTGTGATTGTACTGCCTGTGTCATAATCCCAGGAAAAAACAAGGGAATCTTTCTTAATTCTTAATCTATGTTTTGAAGTGGTTTGAAATCTAGTTTTTTGAATTCATGAACCAATGTTTCCATCAGAAAAACCGCAGACGCAGAAACCGCAAGAAGAAGAGCAAGCAGAAGCGAGCCCATGAGAAGAAGGAGCAGGCGGCGGAGCAGCAGCAGAAGAAGGAGGGCGGCGACAAAGAAAAGGACAAGGACAAGGACAAGGAGAAGGAGAAGGAGAAAGACAAGGAGTCGGAGGTGGAGATCGAGTACATCACAGAGGAGCCGGAGATCTACGACCCCAACTACATCTTCTTCAAGAGAATCTTTGAGGCATTCAAGGTGACTATAGAGCACAGTGGATATTCTTTTATTTCCCTCGAGCAGGAGGCTGCAATAAAGCATTATTTTTAATGTTTTCAGATGTATTATGGCATTTGCTTTTATTTTGCTATAATGCAGCCATTTCCTGCTCTTTTCTAGCTGACTGATGATGTGAAGAAAGAGAAGGAGAAGGAGCCCGAGAAGGCAGAGAAGCAGGAGACAGCCGTGCTGCGGAAAAAGGGTTTTGAGGATGAGAAGAAAGACAGCGACGACAGTGATGAGGTTTGAATCCTT